GTGCAAGTCACTTTCCGCGATCGTCACGCGTTGAATCTCCTCATACGCCAGTCTCAGGCACAGTATCTGTCAGGCGCGATTTGTAAGTCTTTCAGCCGGCATACGCCAATAATAAAAGCTGCTCCTTAGTTCTTATTACCTGTCGATATAATCGCCTAGGAAAAGATAGGAACAGTCGGGAGGATAACCGCATCGATTAAATATTCGTAAAAGGTCAGGATATTGGCCATGTATATCGCCACAAACCTGAACGTCCGAAATACACTGTACCGAAAAGTACTTCAGTAGGTACAGTGCCTTTGAAAGAGATCATGACATTACGTTCACAGGCGCTTCTATTTCAATCATGGTGTCCTGCGCAAGCACGATTTGAGCGCAGAGTTCGGCGGCTTCTTTGATAATATCCTCGGTGATAGTGTAAGTGAGAGAGGGGTTTGCCGCATCATTAACTGAAAAGGTGTCTACAGTATGTTAGCATGCACCTCAAAATTTGTATCACTACACTAACAATAAAAGCAAGCTGGGCAGCGACAAGAGGAGCCTCCGTGAGATGCTGCTGAATGCTGCTTACGGTTGAATATGAATCGTCCTCCTTCCAAGGTCATCCATTCAGGAACTTTTTGTGATTGGATTCATCGAAACAGTCCTTCCCGTGAATGGGGTGAAGGGATCCACAAACGCAGAGGTAGTGCCATTTTCGCAACTCTTAATGACTGGCAAGGATATTACATGCTTATGACTCGCGTCCATGCGCGTTCTCCTCTTTCCTAGGAATATTGCGTGCCCAACATTGCATACATGGTAGTGTTTGCGTCTCTAGGATCTTCCATGCTCTCTCGTCCGCAGTCTGTTTCCACTTTTTGGCACCACGCTCTCTCATACCACCTCCATCTGTATGCCTTGAATGACCGTTCGTCGCTTAAGAGGAAGGTTCTTACTGCTTCCGCGGCTCTACCCACCGCAGGTAACTTTCTCCCTCTCACTGAAGCTCCGCTCAGTGTTGCTAATTTGTCGGCCTCTTGGCTATCCTGATAGCGAATGAGGAACTCTTGCACGAGTTAGTGGTGAGGTATCGCTTATTTGAGTGAAAGCTTCTTATTTCCCCTTGTTCTGGTGAGGAACATACTAGTAATGACGGGACGGTGGCGCCCGATAGCTGACCAAAGTTCGTATAAGAAGGATAAGTTGTGTTAATGGGATATGAGGTGCCACTCTTTGCTATCTTATCCTTATGGTTAGCACTAGAGAACTACTCTGGGCTTTCTCTCACTAATGGTAAAATAGACGTGAACGACTCATTTCGAGCGTACTTTTGATAAGGACCGGTGGATGTCCTACATTCCACACTACCTGCCCACATCCCATCCACTTTTCTGCACAGGTGATCCACCCTGGAGCTTCTCCACCTTTAGGCCCTGACCTTGTCCATTTCCCTGGTTCGTGAAAGTTTTCTTGGACTACAGCGGTGCGAATTGTGAAAGCACTTGAGGCGCACTCCCATACTACACCGCTGCCTATCAGAAGAGTTCTTCAAATAAGTCGATTACGTATCATGCGTTCTTATATGCGTTCTTATTCTTAAAGGAAGTGGTCACGATAATTCTCATAGGGACGATAAGGAAAGCTGTGTACTGGAGTGGATAGGGGTCCTGCCCAATGTTAGAACACGTGAAGTTTCAGTGGCAGTGGCGCCTTATCAACGGAGTGATAAGGCGCCGAAATCCACTTCCGTTCAGCAAAAACCAAGACTTATCGATGTGGAAAGGGGTGCGATAAGAGCGTGCTAGATATGATACCGTTATCGTTATCGTCCCGTTTTCATTCTGGAGTGCACCTCTTATCAAGCAGCCGCACCTTCTTATCTCATCGTATCATATCTTCCATGGGCTTACACTCGTCCAACATTATCTGCCTCACACCTTATCGGTTGATAACGCGAGGGTAGCAAATCCAGCGTGGAAGCCAGCGTGACCGCTTCCTTTAACTGCTTCAATTCGTTGGATGGCTAACGTAACAATCCCCTAACCGATCACTCCTTTTCGCATACAGCAGAATGAACAGTTGGGTCGTATAATTCTCGCTGTTCCATCATTTTGGGTGGGTCCTCAAAGGAGTGGTATACATAGAGATCCAACACTATTACGCGTTCATGAATGTGGAAATATGTGGCTTTGTTCTTGCGGCATTAGGCGATTTTGCTTCGTTGTCAGGTGGCTGGAGCAAAAGACAATCGATACGCCACACAATTTCACTCGTCTAATCGCCTTGCTCGCTCATGCTGGGTCGCATATACGATCTGCGAACTATAAATGCTGGCAGTCGCCATGCCACTAGTTTCAGCGTCACACGGGTTGCGTATGCCAAACGCCTAATGCAGCACATTTTTTGATCAGCCGCCTTGCCACCATCTGCAGTCTTTCTTTAGCCTTTGGAACTAACTGAAAGATGAAACTAGCAACTTTGCCGCAAAGGCATTACATTATTCTTGTTCAACGAATCGTCCTTTACCTCCTCTGCACTTGCTTATCTTTAGCTTGCTCCATGTCGTGTGGAAAATGGTATGCCTATTACTTCATCCACAGATCAACATCTGCTCTGAAGAGCCTCGCCGGATGAAACGCGTGAGGGTAAGAAAGCAGGCTTTTGTTGAGAATATTTTAGATATAGCCAATGTGTATCAATGGACCAACATGCGATGATCTTTACATGGTGCAGACCTATTCACAAGTGTTTGAAACTGGTGAATGAGGCATCAAAGCCTGTTCCCACAGATGGACCACTGTTCAGAATCGCGCAGTGTTAGTTCCAATCCTCATCGTTGAGAGAAATGGGGTGAACAGCATACATACCTGATAAAAGATTATCGACGAGTCCCGCGATTTTCGCGTTGATCATGAAGTAATATAGTTATTCACCACTCACTGTGTCTTCAAAACTAACAATGAGGCTGCATGCGTTCGGAAGTACTTATAAACATGACTGATAATTCCTTTGATCCTGATAAAGGAATGTTTCGCGTTTACACGTACAGACTACGGTAATGGCATGATCGCCATCAATGGATACAAGATTCATGGATATTTGAAGGGAAAATACCGCAACCGAACAGGTAAGCCGGTCTTTGCGGGGACGTCCAAGTGAGTGAGTAGTACTTGGGGCTAAGCCTTAGGGAGGGTAAGGGATTCTGGGGGTAAATGTGGCTACTTTTGTTCTATAGCACACAGGATCGACGATCGATGAATCTTGGCATCGTGTGTGGTATTTCTTTTAGGTTTGCTTCTGAAGCCACAAGCCAAGATGATACAGAGCTTTATTCGGCTAACGTTTCGGCTTGGTCGCCTTCGTCAGAGCCTGGAAAGTCAAAGATCAGTGCGACCTACCGCAGACATCATTTCTAACTTCGAAATAGTCCCCATAGACTAGAAAAACTTGGGGCATCGTAAACACAAGCACCAGTCGACTCACCTTAGAATGTACGGTAGGGTTTTGCTGAGACCACCGCTAGACTGACTCACTGTGGGTGGCTTCGGATGACCTAGCCCATCGGCATGGAGCCGATGGCGCTCGAAGCCCACAAAGGTCAGCGAAAGGTGCGAGTTCACTGGTTATGGCTAGGCATTCATCTTTCCTGTTTATTTTTGGGTTTTAGCGCTTATCCAAAAGGCCTCCAAAGTTTTGCGCGCTGAAGTGTGGGGCTCTCGCGTCAGGATCCTTACAGTGACCTCAAACTCCGCGCCTCCATGGCACTGCAACCGATGACCACCCAGGGGGTCTCAGGCCTTGATCTGCTTAGCCCGTCGAGGTGTTCGTTGAGCTTTTGTTCTGACTGGGGTTAGAGCTTCGTCCTAGTGTCACCTACCAACGCGTTTAAACTGCCGTTTTGAATGTCTTCCCCATTCCCCTCGCCCCATGGCCATGAATGTCGGTGACCCTTCTGTGTTCGAAAGAAACTACTCAAGGCACCTCCGGTGGTAGACATGTGTGGGTTGTTGCGCACGAACATGGATTTTCCTGGGGTTATTTCGAGCGCACTAATATATAAGGGAAAGTCGGTATTTAGGGGCGATTGGTTATGAAAGAAAATTAACAAAATTTCTAATAGCTTCTGAAATTAGATGCCGCGCTATCTGGATGGGCGCGATCCCGTCCCAGCAAACTAGTGGACTGAGCCTAGGAGGAGAACTTCGGGAAAATGAAGATACACACACCTTTCCCCTACTCCCTTCCCCTTAGCCCCAGAGCGATCGGAAGGGGAGAATGCCAAGTGTATGGGTTCTCGGCATAACGGTGCTCTATCTGAGTACACCAGCGCCCGCCTCTTACTGTATTTCGTTGTACCAAGATGAAGGGTCAATCAGTGAGAGGCAGGGACGAATTCTGCCCTCGGAATTGGTGTGCGATGTATTTCTTAATAGTTTTTTCGCTCTCTTGCATTAGTGGGCTGCTGAAAATAGGCCCGAGAATTTTCATTTCCGTGTAGCAAAACACACTGCTCAGCCAACGGTGCCTTGAGTTTTTGACAGTTTTTTGACAGGTGAGATCCCATACCAATCAGTCGACGCCGAATTGGTATACGGCTTGTCGTTAGCTATGTACATGCGCTAATTTCGATCCAAAGCCCGCAGTTTCATTTTCTGCAGTTTACGCTTAGCTTCGGCTCCGAAGGGTGTGGTGGTGTACTGGAGGGGGCAAGCGACATACACCAGGGACGGTAGTAAAGTCTCCTAAATAGCCAGTCTATAGTTGGCCAATAGGTCACGTTGACGTCGCCTTCGTCCGCACCTAAAAAGCATTGGGAAAGGCGGGAAACTCGCGCTGACCTGCCGCAATGGGCGAGGTCTAGGCAACATCTTAAGTGGCCAATGTATAAGGTGGCACTTTGCCTAGACGGCGAACCTGGCAGAGAAAGGGGAAAGTGCGTGGAGATTGCAGAGACGCAGAGGGTCATGTAGAGGGCGACTAAAATGTACCCCTGAGTACATTTTAGTCGCCGTCTATCTGCGTCTCTTC